GGAAAGAAAGGAGAATCCGTTAAGAAGATGCGTGAAGAGAGTGGTGCACGTATCAACATCTCAGAAGGGAATTGTCCTGAGAGAATTATCACTTTGGCTGGACCCACTAATGTCATCTTTAAAGCCTTTGCTATGATCATTGACAAACTGGAAGAGGATATCAGCAGCTCTATGACCAATAGCACAGCTGCCAGTAGACCTCCAGTAACCCTGAGGCTGGTGGTTCCTGCTAGTCAGTGTGGCTCTCTCATTGGAAAAGGTGGTTGCAAGATCAAGGAAATACGAGAGAGTACAGGGGCTCAGGTCCAGGTGGCGGGGGATATGCTCCCCAACTCAACTGGGCGGGCCATCACTATCGCTGGCATTCCGCAATCCATCATTGAGTGTGTCAAACAGATCTGCGTGGTCATGTTGGAGACTCTCTCCCAGTCCCCCCCGAAGGGCGTGACCATCCCGTACCGGCCCAAGCTGCCCAGTTCTCCAGTCATCTTTGCAGGTGGTCAGGACAGGTACAGCACAGGCAGCGACAGTGCGAGCTTTCCCCACACCACCCCGTCCATGTGCCTCAACCCTGACCTGGAGGGACCACCTCTAGAGGCCTATACCATTCAAGGACAGTATGCCATTCCACAGCCAGATTTGACCAAGCTGCATCAGTTGGCAATGCAACAGTCTCATTTTCCTATGACGCATGGCAACACCGGATTCAGTGGCATTGAATCCAGCTCTCCAGAGGTGAAAGGCTATTGGGGTTTGGATGCATCTGCTCAGACTACTTCTCATGAACTCACCATTCCAAATGATTTGATTGGCTGCATAATCGGGCGTCAAAATCAATGAGATCCGTCAGATGTCTGGGGCGCAGATCAAAATTGCTAACCCAGTGGAAGGATCTACTGATAGGCAGGCTACCATCACTGGATCTGCTGCCAGCATTAGCCTGGCTCAGTATCTAATCAATGTCAGGCTTTCCTCAGAGATGGGTGGCATGGGGAGCAGCTAGAACAATGCAGATTCATCCATAAACCCTTTTCTGCTGTTCACCACCACCCATGATCCATCTGTGTAGTTTCTGAACAGTCAGCGATTCCAGGTTTTAAATAGTTTGTAAATTTTCAGTTTCTACACTTTATCATCCACTCGTGATTTTTTTTTAATTAAAGCGTTTTAATTCCTTTCTCTGTTCAGCGGTTGATGCTGAGATCCATGTTTAGTTTTATAAGCTTCTACCTGTTTTGTTTTTTGGTTTTTTTTTTTTGCTCATGAAATTTTTTTCCTGTTTGTCATGGATATGTAAGAGTGGAATATTAATACATTTCAGTTTAGTTCTGTAATGTCAGGAATTTTTTAAAAAAAAATTAAAAGATGGACTGGAGCTTTTCCTTTGTGAATAGAAAAAAAAATGTTTGTGTGGTATTATCCTATCTGCAGGTTACATCTTATTTGAAAAAATCAAAATATGTTGCCACTGAGTCAATTCTGACTCACAGAATCCCACCACCACTCCCACCTAGACTGTGTGTCAGAGAACTATGCTCAGCAGGGTATTACAGGCATTTCCTAAAACAAACTTGTTACTGTTGATTCCAACTCAGACCTGCTTAGGGTTTCCAATGCTGGATGTTTTTAGGAGAACACACTGCTTCACCTTTCTCCTGAAGAAAGGCTGAACTGCTTAAACAGCCAGCTTTTAGCCTACTACTCATTTTTCCTTTCTTTCCTGTTGCTGTTGAGTTGTAACCAGCTAATATGTGGCCCCATTGGGTTCCCGAGGCTGTAAGTTACACAGGAGATTGCCAATTTTTCATCCTCAGAGTCACTGGTAGATTTGAACTACCAGGGATGTGCAGACTTCGGGTAAGCAGCTGAACTTGCTATGGACCATGCCATCAGAGTGGAGCAGAAAATCAATTTATTGAGTCACAATCATGAAAAATAAGAGGCATGTTGTTATTGTGAGTCATTAAGTCCGTTCTGACTCCCAGTGACCTTGGATGGTACAGAAGAACTGTTTCCATGGCTATAATCTTCAAACAGTTCATTAAACTTTTCTCCTGTGGGGCTGCAGTTAGGTTCAAATAGCTGTCCCTTTGGCTAGCTAGCTGCTGAGTGCTTAATCACTGAACCACCATAATTGGCATGTTATTGTTGTTTGGTGTCATTGAGTTACTACAATGCATAGCAACTCTATGAACAAGAGCCCTGAACTCTGCCTTATCCTGTGCCATCCTCGCCCTCCCTGAGATGCTTGAGCTCACTGTTGCAGTTAGTCTGTCTATTAATACCTCTTGTTGAGGTTCTTTCTTTGACCTTCTACTTTTCCCAAATATCTTTTCCAAGAACTGGTCCCTCCTGACAACATTCCCAAAGTATGTGGGTCCAAGTTTCCCTATTCTTGCTTCTAAGGAGCACTCTGTTTGCACCTCTTCCAAGACTATCTTCTTTGTTCTCTAATATCACAATTCAAGGGTATTGATTCTTCATTTGTCATCCTTATTCATTGTCCAACTACCATGAAGTGTTTGTAATTTTATATATATTAACACATAGACATACATATAAGTAAGTGTGGTGTCAGGCTAAAAGCTTTTTTTTAGGCATTATGGTTATTCCCCTCTGGTTTTTAGCTACCTTAACTGTTGACAAATCAGCAACACTTGTGGGACTAGGATAAGAGTAAGAGTGCTTCCCAAACTGAGTAGCAAGACTTGTGGCAGTAAGACTTGAGAGAGACTGGAGAAAGACCCTGGTGAGAGGGAAACCTTGGTGATGGTGGGGAAGAGACTGGCATTGCTGTGGAGAAACTGTGTCAAGGTGCGACCTGAGGCTTCTTTCATTTGTGCTGGCCATTGTTAAAAGGATTTGCTGTTCTTGCCCAAGCTTGAAGTAGACGCTGACTTTTAACTGCTCTGAGGCAAATCCTGCTGGATGATTTGGATTTGACTGCTGAATTTAAACCAGAGCCTGGACTAAGTGGGTTATTGTGCCTTGGAACTTGGGCTAAAACCTGGACTTGTACTGGGTGATACTCTTTGCCTCCCCTGCTCTCCAATTTAATTCATTAATAAACCCGACAACAACTAGTACCACAACTTAATCCCCTAATAAACCCGACAACAAATAGTACCACAACTGTGAGGCTGTGGGTCAGCAAAGAATTAATGGACCTCTTGCTGCTGGTGTGGCTCTGGAGGCACCTTGGAGCTAGGCTATGTGCTTTTTAATCTGCTTTCTGTTCTAGTGCAGTGAAGAGCTGAGTTATTCTGACTCCATCTGATCATTTCAGAGAGACGGTCATGGCCCTATGCTTCCATGGCCTGTTTTCTGTTCCTTAGACAACAAGTTTATTTGTATAAGTAATATCTGTATGCAGTATAAACACAAAACCCTCCAGCAGATACATGGCCTATTTTTTGAGTCTTCCCATAAAAAGTAATGAACAAACAGGGAACACTGGTGGAGCATGAACAAGGGTCAAGTAATGATCCAGACTCTTCTCATGTACTTATAAAATCCTAACAAGCCTAGGAGATAAGAGTTTGTTATCTTAAAGATAAGAAAATGTAAACAGAGAAGTAGCTTGAACAGAGTTACTGAGCTATTAAGGTGGGATTTGTTCCAAGACAGTCTTTTAACTCCAGTTATGCTCCTGTGCCATCACCTGAACAGCTGTGAGAACACGGAACTCACTCCAGACAGCCTAGCCTACCATTCAAAGAAGTTGGCATAGTCAGTTCTAGAACACAGATCTGAGAGCAGTCTCTGCTTTCAGTTCTGATACTGTCGTCGTTCAGTGTGTATGCACGTTATTTATGCACATGTACATGTAAGTACAAATCTCTGACATTCAGGATGGTGATGGCACAAAAACGCTCTATCATATTCCAATAAATTTCAAGCAATAATGGTCTTAGTTAAAAACTATTTCATAGGGGAGCTCTGGTGGCCTAGTGGCAAGAAGCTGCAACTATAATCCCAGAGGTGCACGGTTCAGATCCACCAGATGCTCTGCCGGGGAAGGAGGGGCAATCTCCTCCTGTACCAGTCAGATCTGATTTGACGGTACACGCACACAAAAATAATAATATAAAAACAAAACAAAACTATTTCATTATACTGGAATAAAAAATACTCAAAAAGAAAAGATAGACAAGCAAATCTGAACTAGAATATATTTATTTACATCATTTTTATTTACTTTTTACAACTCTAGCACTTTAAATCATACAAATGTCATGTGTTTTTAAGTTATGACTGTATTTTAACAAAGGAAATTTTCAAAATATGGTTTCTATTTACATGAATTAGTACTTTTAAATGTTTCATCCCTCTTGAAATTGTACAACTCAAAGCACTTACTTAAACCTTGTATCATTTTAAAACAGCTTTTCATTTAAGAAATTATAGTCATAATCAGATCCTAGTAGTTTGATTTTATTAACACACCCAGTAACCTGCTTTTGCTTAAGTCTATGAGCTGAAAGGACTCAAAATATTCAGAGGTTAAGTTGTGCTAGAAATTGACTTAGGCTGCTTTGTGTAAAGACTTCTGAGCGTTCTCTATAACAGTCATATAACTTCTTATAGAAGGTTCTGCATTTATTTTGAGCACACTTTTTGTCTATGAGTTTGGAATTATTTCCAGTGTTGCGCACTCTGAAAAGAGTTTCACAACTGTAGTAGGGCAAATCTGGTGTATTCTCCTCATCATTTTTGAGATGCTTAATTTCCCTTTTCTGATACTGTACATGCAAATCACTTACGTTTGAAAGAATTTGTTGTTGTTGTTGTTGTTATGTGCCGTCGAGTCGCCTGCGACTCATAGCGACCCTATGTACAACAGCCCTAAACTC